GGAAAACAAGTCTTCTTTCCAGACCAAGCCTCACAACACCATTATTTGTATTTCCATTTTTAGCACCTCTTTCAGGGGCGGGGGGCGCACAGAAGAGAATGAAGACACCACACCCATCATATAGATGAATGTGAAAGCTGAAGCACCTTGAAACTCAGTGAGCATTTTAAATTACAGTATGGCAAAGAGGTTTAGAGCACAGACTTGGGTTTAAAAGACACATGTGGGTCTCAGTGTTACTATCTATAGAGCGGTCACAAAGCCCCAGTACCTGTAAGTTCCAAGTGACCTCATGTTCCCCTTCCTTTGTTTGCCATTCAATTTAAAATTTTTCCTATGCTCTTCTTCACCTCATGGGCTGATAGTGGCCAGAGTCCCTTTACATGAGATTCTGCTTAAAACAGATGATGATGGAAAAGCAGACTCAGACACAATTCTTAACCTTTAGGAGCCTACTTTCCCATCTGTGAAATGGGAATACCATCTAACTACCGTGTGACTGAAATGGATATGTAACTTGGTATTAGCCACAGTAGTGGGCTTACAATAGGTGCTGAATAAATATTCGTTAAAGGAATGAGTGAATGGATTGATTGATTTACTAATGAAGGTAGAGTTTATAAGAATCTGTGTGTGCGCGTGTGTGCGCATGTGTCGGTGGGGGGGCTGGTGGGTTTATAAAGGAATGCAATACTTAATGTAACTTAGATATACTAGAAGAAATCAGTTTTCTAATGAGAAGAATCACTTAGCAATGTATGCCATGTTGTACTTCATACAAATAGGATTCACCGAAATTGTGAGGAGCACCCATTTAACCAAAAATTTGAACTGCAGGAGATACATTAACTGGCCAATCACCCAGCCTCTCAAAAAGCATGATTATGTTACAACAGTGTTGAGTATTAGAGAATACTGACTTCTCAGTTTTTATTCTATTTTGTGTAAGGTAAACATGCTGCTGGGGCGGAACTACTCACAGCTCGTTTGCTGATATAAATCAATCACCATTTTTATGAATAAGTTTAGAATAACAATCTGAATTTTATTACAAACAAAAATAAATCTAAAAAGCTTCCTTCAATTATACAGTATGCACAAGGATTTCTGCATTACATCATTTTACATAAAATGTTCTGAATGACAGAAGCAGAACTTCCTACCATTTGAAGAGAGGAGCTGACTGCTGAAAACCACATACACTTACAGAAAGAAACAAAATTTCACAGGTAAGGTCTATGATCTCTGGCTACAGGCAGGAGAGGAAACTACGAACATAAAAAAAACTTGGAGAAAAAAAGACATTCAATACTCTAAAATACTTCAGCAAAATAGTCAAACATTTGTAAACAACTTTTAAACATATCTCTTCACTATGTTGTGTTGCTATAAGGTAAATATCCTTAACTGACTTTTATTTGACTCAAAAAAGCTATTCTTACTGCTGAGGAGTATTTCCCTCTAGATTAGATAAAAGCTTTGTTTTCTTTCCCCAGAGGCAAGAATAAAATGTAATTAGGGCTTGTTCAGGGATTGTTCATGAATTTCTTACACTGCGACCTTTTAGCCACTTGCTTGTCTGTTTGCTATTTCCAACCAAAAAAAAACAAGGGTTAGAAGAAATGGTAAAACCAGAATTAACAAAAAATTTGGCTCCTTGTTAACATCTTTGTTTGAAGGGTGAGGACACTGTGGATTTTGATTATCCCTGCTACCTTTCTCCCATTATCAAGGATAATCAGGACTTAACAAGTATGAGCTTGGCAACACAACTACTTAAAAATCAAGTAAGGCTGAACTGCACTCAGTGTCCAGGACAACTACAGTACCTAAGATCCCCAGGAACTCACTGTAAACAAACAAGCAAGTGTGCAACAGCCTTTTTTGCATTGGGCACCATGACTTAAAACTACGATTTTCTTTCATTTACCTATTTGGATATTTTTATGAAGTGATTGCATGTAATAATAATAATAATAATAAAATTTTCCTTTAAGTATGTAATGTATAGCAAAATTAATGAGTAGAAATAAAATCTGAAATCTATAATACTAAACCCTAATGGAAAAGTCAAGCCTTAGTATCCATGCTTGGCTATCTCATGCTCTGAGATAATTAGAAAAGTCTCTGAACACTGACTAGGGGTCCCTTTTGGTGGAGTGACAGATGTACACACAAGCAGCCATGCTATGAATGAGTTCCGCTTTTCCTCAGTCTACAGTTATTTTCTGTGCCAGTTTTATCTTACTATTAATATGTTGAGCCCAATATCACTTTCAGCTAGGTGATCAAATTATTTGGGAATAATAACACTTCTTTTCCTTAAATGAAGTGATGGTAGACATTTATTTTCCAGAAACTGTCTAATTATAGATTTTGAAGAAGCTAAAAATGACACAGTTCAGTACAAACTGCCCTTTACCTTTATTGCTTGTATACACAAGGAATACATTATAAAATTCAGTGGGAAGAGGGAAAAATAATGGAAGAAAAAGTTACCTGCTTTAGTATTTTTAAGAATAGTTTTGATAACTTCTTAGATCAACTTGCTTATCTGAAATAGAGCAAAACTACAATACAATCATGATATAATTCTAATAATCACAGCAATTATGCTTTCATTTTTAATTTTCTCTTCATAAAACATTAATGCTATAAAAATGAGGTTGATGACATCTTTATTTAAAAGATACCTTGCACTGGTATCAAAATGTGACTTATTTTAATACCAACTGAAAAAATAGAGCTTATATAGTCTATTATTTCAATGACGTTTTATTATTACTTTTATTTGCAAAGTTGGTAGCAAAGTTATTGTTAACAATATAAATTTTCTCTTTATAAGTGTTGAAATTCCCTTAAAAGTGTTGAAAGGCAGCAGGCATTCTAGGAAGGGCTTGCAAGGAAAATCAATTATTTAACTGTTGATAAATAGAATACTTGATGAATTTATATTTACTTTTTTAACTTCCTTACTAACTTCTGATCTGCCAGGTTTTTTATTTGGTATCGTAAAAGAAAACTAAGCCCAAGCCTATTAGCCGGAGCAATTATTTCCATTTTCCATTATTTCTCTTCAGTTTTTCAAATATACAGAAAACAATCCAATAATCATTGCAGGAAGGAATGATCATTTAAGCTGGATTGCGTTCATTTACCTTTTAATTTCATTTAAGAGACAATAATATTAGAGTCATAAAAGCTTTACAGTTTCAACACATATACACGCAATCACAGAATTAAAAATCTTTATACCTTAAAAAAAAAGGTTCCATTTTGTTCAATGTATTATAGTCAAATTTTAGTCTAATGAAATATGCTTTTATTAAATACAGCAGCCGCCACTTACCTTTAAATATCTTATGGATGGAACTAAGTTCAGTACTGATCCAAGGATGCTGGCATCAAAGCACTCACTTTGAACTATCCCTAAAGGTTCTGCATTTCTATAATGTACCACCAATTATTCTAGATCTATAATACCCTGTCTTTAACTTGGTATATACCATATTTTGGAAAAAAATTATTCGTTTTTTGAGATGAGATACATGAACAAAATCATTCTTGAGGTTCCACCTCGAAAAAAAAAGACGATGTTTGCACATAGCAGCTAGTTTGATACCCCTGTTTTTGTTAGGCTAGCCTTCACACAATGAGCATGCATATACAGCTGCGGTTTACTGCATCTGTTCTGAAGTTGAGAACTGCTGCTTATTCAAGTCACAGATGCCCCCATATTATGCAAGGAGACAGTTGAATTGCATGTCCACCATGAGAAAAGGAAAATGAACGATAAAACAAATGCAGCAAACATAGGCAGTTGGCATTCAGAACACGCCAAAAAGCTAACACTCATGAATTGTCATTATAAGGGTTTGTCTTTCCTTAAAAAAAAAAAAAACAAAAAAGTCTTTCTTTGCATATTTTCAAATTTAACAGTCCCAGAGAATCATGAAGTGCCTTGTCGTTTCTGCTGCTGACTTCTGATGACCTCTAGTTGTTTTTTGCATTGCTGGTAGTAAGTAGAAAGGCTTTTGTTTTCATCTAAAAGCTTTTTATGTTCCTGTACCAGACGAGATGTATTTTGCTGGTCCTTTTCATCCTGGTCCAGTTCTGCAACTAGTTCTTGCCTAAAAACAACCACCACATAATAAAATATTATACATGATGGAAAAATTCATACTTAAATAGCCGATGATGAAAGCTCAATTAATTAGAACTTTTATTCTGGGTCTATCATTATACACTACTCAAATATAATTACGGGCTGAAATGGAAACTATCATCTTCTCTTTTAATGTAACCAACAAATATCATAATCTTTTAAATAAGTAACAGTACTTGGACAAAGAGTGAAAACAGATGAAACATAATACAAGTTTCAGAAAATTTTATTTGGTAACCTTTTTGTGTAGGAGGGAAGAAAAAAGGCTGGGAAGGGCTTTATCTGACTACAGGAAAATAACACAAGTTTTTATCATTCACATTCTACTTTTACACTCATGTACTTATATTCATATTCTGAAGTCACAATCCTATTTAACTATAGTGCAAAGTTGTAGCTAAAAGAACATTTGCAAGCTAATTAAAATAGATGCTATTAACTTAAATCTCTTTCCTATTTTAAAACAGTGAGAACAATACAAAGTACCACTTTGAAGCTACTCACTTTTGCAAACATTTTCAGGAAAGACCACCAGAGTCTTTTCTAGCCTGATAAACTTTTTAAAGTCTCTTTTATTTGGAGGATATTAAATATTAGCTTCTAAAGCAAAGCTACTGGATATGAGTGAATAATTAATGAAAAGTCCTCAAAAAGATTTCCTAGTAATATTTCTCATTTAAAGTATTTAAAATTGATTAAAACTGTCAAAATTTTCACATCCCCTCAATCTACCATTTGTCTTTTCCAGCACAGAACTCCCCCTTCAAATGATTAAAGCATGAAAAAAGTGTAGGTTAAATATGTGAAATAAGAAATACAGTTTTTTTTTTAACATGGAGTGCCAGCAGTTCTATAACCAGTTCTACAATGTGCAGACTCTAATATTTATTTCCTATCTAGCCTTACCTTTAAGATACTAAATTGAATTCATTTAAATCACTGTATCAGTAAATTGTGATGAAACTATTTTTTTCCATTTTTTGGAAGTAAAAACAGAAAATTTTCCAGAAATTACTTTAGAAAACACGAATTTTCATTTATTTAGATTCAAATTAATAGAGGGAATCCTATTACTATGTATATATATCTAGTTGCCATGATTTTTTTCCTACAACACTTCATTTTAGTTATCACCATAAATCAGCTTCAGAGGTATAAAATTTCATGAGGCGCATGCTGAAGAAAACCGAAGTATTTTCTTTTAGAAATTGAAAATAAAGGAGTATGGAAATTGTACTGTATTTCTTAAAAAAGGGAGGAAGGTCGTCTCTATAACTCTCAGAAAAACACATCTGAATATAAAACTTCCCAGAAAAACACTCACAGGTATGAAATAAAGCCCTCTAATGAGTAATTCTACCCTCCTAAACATACACTCGGAAGGCATATATCTACACAAATGTTTCTAAGATAAAGCACAACTGAACATTAGTAAATCAAATTATTTTACCTTTGTCCAAGGAAACAATAAATCTTTATGATAATAAATCTAAATAGCTTTTAACTTTAAAATACCGAGAACATAAAACACGTTTATGTAGTACCAGTTTATTTTCCTTAGTACTAATACAATACGATACACTCAAACGGGTTGAGCTTTGTACAAAAAATAGCCAGAGTGCTTAAAACTTAAATGTGAACATACATAAAATCTCCAAGTCAGAAATATGTTTAATGATTAATTCTAAAAATTATATAGTTTTCACGTCTTCAAACAATATTGCACTTTAACATATTTTAAACTCAAAACACTACTGTGTTTTTATTTTTATTCATAAAAGATAACTTACTTTCTCTGTAATAACAACGCAATTTCTGTTTGAACTTTCATATATTCTTGTGCCATTTTACAATGCTGTTCAAACACTGCCATAGATTCTTTGGAGTTTGGGCATGGTGCTAAAGGCTGAAAATAAATCAGGAATGTTAAAACATAATTAAATCAAATCTCAATATCTAGCTAAGATGAGAGTTAAGACAGAGACTGATATATTTTTATAGCACTAAAGCAATGACCTTTTAAAAATAAGTGTTCAACTATGCCCTAGAAAATCTCAGTGTCCTTTTGTCAGAGTTAACTCAGAACTTAAATTTATACTTGTTTTAACACTTTCGTAGTGATAGAGAACCATGACTCTTGGCCTCTGGTTTTACATTTCAGGTTGCCAGACTGTATTATACCAAAAGATGTTTATAGCTCTCATACTCATGAGGAGACACTGAAGTGCATTACTTATATTTTCAGTCAATATGAACATGACAATGTATCACAAAATCTATTAAGTAGAAATGAGCTTATATGAGTTTTATATTTTAATGTACTAAAATTAAAGAGCAAAAATGCTATTCTTGGCAGTCTTAAGCAAAGACATAGGAGTATTTTAAGATCACTGTTAGAATAAGAACATATGATTTTGCCAATTTTACATCTGATTAACTTAAAGAATCATTTATTTTAACTTGATTTTAAAAAGTTCAAGGAGGCCAACTGAAAGCATAAATACACTAATATACAATGACAGGAACACAACTGTCAGCTTTAAAGATAAATTCTCTAAAATTTTTCTAAGGAAAAAGTAAACATTCACTGAAAAGTACTCTTTTACCTGTAGTTGGTGATCCAGTGTAAGATAAGCCATTGGGATGGAGTTATCCGATCCATTGGTATCTGGAATTCAAGCATGTATTTTATTTATTTTCTGTCATAAATAATTGTAAACAAAAAGCAAGAAAGAATGCATGAAATGCTGGTATTTTTTTCCTAAGGTAAAATAAAAATTAATGCTACTGGTAATAAAAAAAGTCTATTTTTGAATTCTAAAGGTAAACGGGATATCCAATTACTAGAGATAATTAGAATGCAACCATACTCTCATACTTACAATTTAAGTTGGCTATAAACTGAGTAATATTAAAGCTTGTAAGCCCTTGTTTAATTAAAAACAAAAACAGTGATACGAGACCTTTATATTTTAAATTCAGTCTTCACTGCCCTACCTAATCAAATCTCACATCTCTTTCTTTCCCTGATCATGCTAACTTTACTATAAGGTTGTGTCAACTCTGGCAACATAAGTGTTCCTTCACAGGGAAAGGGGAAAAGCAAGAGATACATTCTCTTCCAGTGAGTCATCTTCAATTTATATAGATTCTAGTGTGAGCTCCTTATTCTGCCTCTCGTAAAGAGAATCACTGCAGAATATGAGAGATGTTACTGACGGGAGTATATCACACATACCAACAACATGGAAACTGTGGCTCAGTGTCATGCCCAAAAGAGTTAAATGGGTTAATTCAAACAACCAGTCAATTTCATCAAATTACTTGCATAGATAGCTTTTGTTTGTATTTCAAAAGGGGTAAAACTGCCATAACAACTTGTACAAGGAACATGAGATGGTCCCTTCCCAACATTAACATTTATGTACAACAGTTCCAGAAGCAGGCAGGATAATGTGAAGTAATGTGGACTTTTCTATTTCAGAAGCAGTTGCTTTTCCACTGTTAGTAGAGAATAAATGAGCTAAACAAGTGAGTTGTTCAGCCTTTTTTCTGACAAGTAACTCCTTGAAAGAGTGTTGTGCGTAAAGGCAAGGTCAGGACAGCAAGGTACCGCATCTCATGCAATAAAAAACTAAGACAGTTTGATGATTCAGTAACCTTTTAATTTATTGTTGACTGACATTCTAGTTTTTTTTTTTTTTTAAAGCCATTGAGAATGTGCTTGCAAGTAACTCCAAAAGCTAAGCTAAATTAGACCAAATGAGATAATGCATATAAGGAACACCATACAATGCTGGCATATTGTAAGCACTCAACATGTAGTGGTGATGGTTATTATTATTACTGTTATTGTTATTAATACTAAATGGAGAATTAGGAAGGAAGGGCAATTTTAAATAGTTAAGTTTGTATTTCAGATTGAAAAAGTAATGTTTATTAAATACTGAAGTGCAATAAAGAAAGAACGAGTAGTATTGCCCAGTAGAGCCTTACTAACTCTAAAATCATATACTAACATAAATGTTTTTCTGAAATGGTTAAATAAGAAATACACTTAATTTGTTATTCTCACCCACAACAGTAGTTGCAAACTATGCTCCCATGGAACACTACTTTCCATAAAATTAAATTTGATTAAAAATGATTTTCCTCTGACTTTATAGGAAAAATTAAGTGTCTTGAAAGAGTTTTTTCAATTTAACATTTCCACTCCTATTACTCTTGCTTAAATCTCTGATATTTGATATCTTATTAAATCAGTACCCTGTACCCGATATGTATTTCAGAATTAAGTATCACTGTTTCACAGCATTCTGGGGGTGGAAAAAAAGTCCAAGGATTATGCTATTCAAACAATTAAAGCCCTCTGGTGGTGGGGATTTAAGGTCTTTACTGAATTTCATTTTTTCTCTAAAACCACAGAGTGAGATTTCACTTTCTCAATTACACTTTAACTGAAATTTAGCTTTTAGTCTCTAATAGCAATAAGTGATCAGAGGATAGCAAGGTTATTCCATGGAAGTTTTTTTTCCTAATGTTTCAATTGCTAATCAAATCGAACCTGTTTTCCTGAATGTTGAGACTCACATTTGTTTGGTTAAATCAGGTGCAATATCTTTTCTGGCCCCTCAAACACAATACTTATAACCATCTCATATTCTCTAAGTATGTGTTCCCTTCATGTGGAATGCTGTCTTCTTTCTGCTTTATGACTAAAGAAAAGTCTCACTATTTTACGAAAAAGTTGTAGACTATGCCTGGTCTTATCTAACTGATTTCTCTCTTAACTATTAAAGCACTCAGCTTGTACTGCAAATTTAGTAGTTTATTATATAGCATGATGAGTTTACTTTTAATGTGTTAGTATTATGACTCTAATCAGGTTGTAAGCAATGGGCCATGTCTCACACTTCTCTCTAAGCAAAGTACCAAGCACAGGAGAAACTCTTTAGCGAGGTTTTCCCTTCTGCAGCTCCCTCTACTGGGTCTAGGCATCTCTCTCACTAGCTGCGCTTGGCTATGGATGCCTTTCTTTATCCTCACACTATATGATAAATAGAAACCCAAGAGCACTTACTATGTGCTATGATTATTAAGTCGTTATGCTCTTTATTTTTCTCTGAAAATATACAGAAACCGATCCCCTTTTAAATTAAAAAAATCGAATTAATTAGGTGTTTTAACCTACATATACACTTGTAATTTTTTCCTGAGTCTGTGGGCCTTCAAAGACAAAGCCTTTACCTATCTCTTCCCTGTAATTTATTCTATTAGCTTGATTATCAATACTTTTCTTAGAAATAGTGCAAAGCTGAACTTCGTGAATTATAAACTTAAACCAGAACATCAGATTCTAAGATTACATTCAAAATTTTTTAAAAATCATAACCACATATTTGCAATATATTTCAAGGCAAAGACAAAATCCAATTGATATTGCAACCTGGACCTAGGTATGGTTTCTAGCTATCAATATTTGGTGGTATTTTAGGTCCCAGAAAAGAAAAAGTGAGATGGGGGTTGGAAGGGTGGGAGAACACATAAAGTGGAAACACAGCAGTTAACAGAGAGGCACATAAGAGAATTCTGATTTTACCCTCATGAATTCACAATCTGCCACATGTTAATGGCACGTCTAGATTAGCCTAGGCTGAAGTCAGGAGGCCCTGCCAAGTTGAGTACCAGGTCTAGGCAAATGCTGTAATGTCAGAGTGAATACTCCCTCACCAGAGGGTTTAAGAACCAAAAAGAGCTGATGGTACCTGACGGTTAGTGATCAAATCTGTCAAGAGCATTTCCCTGTCTTCCTCTGAGGAGAAGCACGTCATGATGAATGCTACACATGTTCTGAGCAGTGGTGAATGTTCTGGACAATCCTAGGTTGGGCTGTGCTAGGGGTGAAACTCAGAGGCGTTTTTGCCACCACTAAATTTAAACTTACTAAAACTAGAGAGTACACCCGTGGCTAAACATAGTTCTATCTTAACGACACAGAGAAAAGCTACCCAATTAATTTTTTAAATTAAATTATGAACTTGACTAAACCATGCCAAATATCTATAAATACTTGTAAGCAGTATTTTAGTTTGTAAAAACAGAAAGCTGACTTTTCAATTTCAATTTAATTGCTGCTATTAATAACATAGTTGATCTTATATAAAATTCCAAATGGTTTAATTTTCCAAGGTCTAAGAGCTCATCTTTCCCTCTCTGACATAATAACATATAAATAACAATTTTTATAGAAGCATACTGATGAGTATTTACCAGGGTATTCTCTGAATGCCAAGGGAAAGTTAATTCCACTATGCACATAATTTCCTGCTTGCCCATAATAAAACTTCTCCATCACTAGATTTTTTTTTTTTTGCTGAGGAAGATTCACCCTGAGCTAACATCTGTTGCCAATCTTCCTCTTTTTTTGGCTTGAGGAAGATTAGCTCTGAGCTAATATCCGCGCCAGTCTTCCTCTATTTTGTATGTGGGTTGCCGCTGTAGCATGGCTGATGAGTGGTGTAGGTCCACATCCAGGATCCAAACCCACAAACCCAGGCCGCTGAAGTGGAGCTCGTGAACTTAACCACCACACCACGGGGCCAGACCCCATCACGAGATTTTAACACTAATATTTTGACTATCTAGTTATTTATGTGAGGGAGTTTTAACAACTCTTAACAGGCTTTTTAAAGGCTATTTAATAGAATATTTATACAACTGACATGAGGTCTCCCTATCAGTTAAAAATGATTCAGAAGGTCAATGGTGAGAAATTTTTTTCTCACTAAAATACATGATATCTTGTATTTTTAAAATAAAAGACTGCAATGAAGATGATTATTTTTACCATTCTGCTGATCTTAGTTATTTAAAAGATAATGACTTTACTGCTGTCATCCAGTTGTATGGATCATAATAGGAAAATCACAGACTGAAGTATCAAAAATACAATATGTTCCTATCTGGAAAAACCCCAAAACAAACCTTCTTCAAAACATATGTTTAGCATCTGGGAGAAAAAAAATACAGAGGGCAAGGTGGTCTCTGTCTCAGTACTCAAAAAGACATTTGTAAGTTTATTGCTAAATATTTGATCTATTAATATGAAAATCTAAACTACTGTACACTGCCTGCCTTTTTAAAAATCAGAGTAATAACAAAACAAAATGAAAATAAACACGATGAATTCAACTTCACAACTATAATGAGGAAATAGACTGGTCACCCGTGGAATCATCAGGGGTCCATGGATGACTTCGAGCTGGCTTTTCTGAGGTTGGTCCTGAGGTAGTGATCATTCGGACGCTAGGACTGGATGACCTACTGCTCACCTGTAGGAAGAAGAGACAAATGGTGATTTTTATTAAAAAAAATGATAAGAGAAAATTTCCATTATAAGGCAAAGGACAGACTTCCATTTCTATCAGTAGAGATCTTGAAACACTCTTGCAAAAAAATAAATCCTCTAAAAAGATTGTGTGTGTATATACATATATATATAAAATATACACACATATATAACAAGTTTATATGAATTCATACACAGTACCTCTTAAACATTGATGAGCTTGCAAGAAAGTAAGAGAAACACTCTGAAACCAGACATAAAACAGGATCATGAGTCTAGCAAGTACCTAAGCTGCTAGCCCGGGGAATTTCAACTGAACACCAACGACCTATAGCTTTTGTTTCGACTGCCTGCCGCACTCAGAGGAACAGGCATGAAGTCTGCGCCTTCGCAGGATGGGAGTAAGACTTGCTTAAAGCTGAAGCCCAAGAAAGGCTTCACTTTCAGGGGAAGAGGGAACTATGAAAAAAAATCTATCCTACAAAAGTAGATAGCAAGTAAATTTGTCTGTTTTCATAGTAGCTCTGGATGGAGGGGAGAAAATATATCTACTGTGAAGCCATAAAAAATTTCCAGAATTGACGGAAGATACAACAAATCCCAAGCAGAAAAAATAAGAGAAAATCTACAATATTAAATTAAACATAGGGCATATTATTATCAAATTCTAGAAAACAAAGACAAATAGAAGATAGTAAAAAGCAGTCAGAGAGAAAACACAGATTATCCACAAAATAATACCAGTTAGAGTCTCAAGAGCAACAAGGCAAGAGAGAAGACAGTGGAATATCTTCAAACTGTTAAAAGAAAATAACTGCTAATGTAGAACTGTTTAGCCAACAAAAATGTGAATGAGGTCAAAATAACATTTTCAGATGAGCAAAAACTGAGTCTACCATCCATAAGACTCTTACCATAAGAATTTCTAAAGTATGCACTTCCAGGAGAGGAAAAATTTTTCCCTGATGGAAGGGCCAAGTTGCAGTCAGGAATACTGGTAAACATAAGGACAAATCTGAATACTGACAATATTAACCAATGGAAATAACAACTAATTTACAGAATTACCAAACAAGTAAATAAGATGGTACTAAAATCTGAATAACAGCATAAGCAAGAGGAGCATCGATTTAAAAATCCTTATATTGTTCAGGATGAGGGTAAAGATATTAACTTTAGGTTGGGCATGAGTGTTAAAATTTCACAGGTAATTACTAAAAGTAACAATATATATAACTGCCAAGTCAGAACAATAATGGAAAGAGAAATATATTTATTCAATTCAAAGGAAGGGAAAAAAGGAGAAATAAGAGAAATAAGAGAAAGCATAAAATAAGAGAGAGCAAATTTCTCAGTAACCATAATAAATGTAAAGAGATTAAACTCTCCAGTTAAGATATTTAAAAAGTCAGATTGTCAGGCTGTTTCTAAGAGACATATCTAATTCACAGAGAGAGAGAAAACAGAAAGCTAAAGGATGAAAAAAGATAGCCAGGCAAAAACTACCCAAAATAAAGGTGTGTAGCTATATTAATATCAGAGCAAATACGTTTTAGGGCAAAAAAAGTTATTATAGAAAGAGATATAATGATAAGTGATTTAATTCAGAATATAACAATTCAAAATGTATATGCGGTACCTATACATAGCTTCCAAACAGATAATAAAACTGCAAAGAGAAAGGGACACATTCACTACCACAGTGAGATATTTTAATACTTCTCTGTAAATGATATATAATAGCAGACCAAAGAACAAAACATGCACACAGTAAAACCTGAACTCCATAAAAGCATGCTTGATCTAAAAATATATATGAAGCCTATGCCTAAAAATTGGAGACTATGCATTCTTTTCACACATCCATTGAATATTTACGAAAATTGATCATGTACTAAGCTATAAAGCAAATCTCAAAAAAGTTAAAAAAATTTCATATCATATAAACCTCATCTTTTTGTACTGATTCAAAATTAACCTTAAAAATCCCATATGTTTAGACATTTAAAAACACTTCTAAATAACTCAAAGAAAACAAAATGGAAATTAGAAATTATTTGAACCGAATGTTAACATGAATCATGCTAAAACTTGTGGGATGCAACTAAAGAGGCATTTAGGGAAAAATATTTAATTCTAAGTATTTATATGAAAAAACCACAAGCAGTCATAATTTACAAGCTAGGGATTTAACTTACATAGTTAGAAAAAGAACCAGGCTATAAGCTTCTCAAAAAGAAACAAAAGAATGAGACAATACTATAAAAATTTTGTGTTTAGTAAGCTAAAAAAAAAACTTAAAATGAAGTAGACAAATTCCAAAAAATACATAAATTACCTAACTTTGTATATATACATTATAGAAAATACCAAGCCCAGAGGGTTTTACAGGTGAGTTCTATCAAACATTCAAGAAAGTGACATTTTCCATCATAAAGAAATTATTCTAGAAAAAAGAAGAAACCTTCCTGACTCATCCTGTGAAGGCAGTAAAACTTGATCAATAAATAAGGACAGTATAAGAAAAACTACTAGCCAAATTCACCTATGAAAATAGATGCAAAAGTCAAAAGTCCTAAAAATTATATTAGCAAATGGAATTTAACAGTGTAAAAGCAATAAAAGTCATTTAAAAAGTGGAGGTTCTCCTACAAATGCAAAGGTCACTTGACATCAGGAATTCTATTAATCCAGTTCATCACATTAACAGATTAAATTTAGGAGAAAAACCTCAACAGACACATAAAAAGTATTTGACAAAACTTAACATCCACTTACAAAACATACATTTAATAAACTTAAATTCCATTTAAGAGAAGAGAATTTCTTAGACAGATAAAGGGTATTTAAAAAAAGTCTAGAAATGTGATAATATGATAGAAAATGGCATTGTGGGCTGGCGTGAGGATGACAAGGAGGCCACAGGTGAGGATTACACAGGAAAACTCACAGGAATTGATCATGTTCCATTTCTTAAGTTGCGTTGCGGGTTCATGAGTGTTCATTTTATTATCAGGTTTCATACCTTACATATTACACATATTCTTGTCTATGTATTAATATTTCATATATTAAAAATTCTCAAAGGACATATAAACTAAATGGATTTCATAAGAATTTCTTTTAAAGCAGCTTTTTTCTTGAACTGTTACTGAATATACAAAATAGGAGACTCAAAAAAGAATATGGAGTTTTATAATGTAAAACATAAAAAATATATAAATTCATAAAGAATCTTATGTCTAGTTTCAATATGTAAACACAGAAACACTCAAACTAAAGACTGTATAAAGTAAAATGAGAGGCAATATAGGAGTGGAAAGTACCCTTGCATAGAAATGAGCAGATGTGAATTCTAATTGTGGTGTAACATCTGATTTAGTTACTCCAAGTCTTGCTTTCTTTATCTGGAGAGGGTTTGGGGCTGGGTTAGGGATGTAATGACTTTTAGTGTTCCGTCTAGTGCTAAAATTCTGATTTTACGCCTTGAAAACTCACAATGGATTGAGGATACTAAACAGTGACGGGGACTTTCATAACACTTTCAGAGATAAAATCATAAAATAATTTTGAAGAAAAACTGATGGAATATTACTTTCATCTTGGGTAACTATTGAAATTGCTTCAGAAATTCCAAAAGCTTTTCTATATTATAAACAATTTTAAACTCCATATCAAATTGGTCTTTCCAAAACCTTAGTTCATTCACACCACCCTTACAAAGGTGCCCTGTATATCACGATGCTCATTCTGTTCTTCTCTCCTCCTTGTTAATTCCTCTCCAAACTGTAAGGCTCAACTCAGGTTCCCTTCAACATTATGTGCTCATTCTTGCTACATCCCTGGTTCTTTGTGCACAAAGCCAGACCCTGTGTTTGAGGGCAAGGAGTGTCTAGCAGTGTGCAGAACACAAAATGTTGATTTATTGGTTGTTATTGGATCAGTTCTGAAATTCTCACCCTAGCATTCCTGACCCTCCAGGGGCAGGTTCACCTTACCTCTCTAGATCATCTCTGCTCTGACAATTCTTTAAGCCCTAATTTCCCTTCCTGCTTTTAATCACGACCCCATATTCATTCAAGGATGATATGGTGTAATGCAAAGAGCATGTATGAAACTGAACTGCATAAAACTACCATTTTTATAGGTCAAAAACAGTCCAATATCAGCATATTCACATGATTTAGTCTAACACTTTGGAGACCTGGCTTTCAATCTCAGTTCTGCCATTTATAGCCGTGTGAACTTGAACAAGTAACTCAGCCTTTCTGAGCCTTCGGCTCCTCATTTACCAAGTATGGATGAGAAGTAATAGTTAAGAAGTCAGGCCTTGGAGACAATATGACCCAGAGTTTGAGTCTCTGGTTAGGTAAGTTATTTAATTTCTAAAACTCAATAGTAAAACAATGATAGTATTATCTATCTCATCAGGTTGTAAAAATCAAATGAAATAATGTACCTCAAGTGTCCTGACACAATAAAAATGCTCACTAAATGGCAAATAATTAGGTTGTTGTAAATATAAGATGAGAATATATGAGTAGACTTCCAGCTCCTAACAATTCCTTTTCTAGATCAAAATCACAGTTCTTTCATAAAACATGTTCAGTGACTAAACTCTGTCACAAAGACATTTTTCTCCTTTGAGCTTTGACTATATTTATAGTCCATTTCTACATAAACCTCAACTTGAGCTGGAAATGCTTTATATTACTCGCAAAGTTTGTGATTCCTCAAAATCATTATAATCTCCTAAGGGCAGAGACCATGTGTACTTTTATATTGTACTCCCCAGGATTCAGGAAATTGCTGAATATACAACAACCACATAATAAATACTCATTGAATAAAATAGTAACATAAGCTGCTGGCACTCAGATATAAGATTGGTGCTTAGGCTTATTTACTTTTTGTATATAAGAAGAATAAGAATACACACCAAAGAGAATGAGTGATGAAATACATAACTCTTACTTTTAGGAT